TTGTTGGACAAGCTGTTCCTTCGTCCTCTGCTGCATGCGAATTGTGGCTGTGACGGCCATGGCCAACAGCTTCTCAAGGACACCCTAAACCCTAAACCCTAAACCCCTAAACCCCCCCTAAACCCCTAAACCCTATAAGCCCTAGGTACGATATGTTATACCTCGGGTTTGTGCATCAGGTTCTGATTGATTAGAGGTGAATCAGGATACTGTTGCGTTAGCAGGATAGCAATCGATATGCTAATTTACCGATCTTTATGAGCTTCATACCTGATAAAGAATTTGTGTAAACCTTATTTATTTACATACCTACTCAGGACCTGTATGAGGTCATATAACCCTTAAGAATTCGGTTACCAGTGGCCTGGCTCGGAATCTGGGACACATTCGGAGCGTCCAGGGTCGTCTTTGCGGCACCAACCTCAAAGTAGTGCAGGGCTTGTAGGGTTGTAGGGAATTGAAGTTATAATGGTATATATAGGGTTATGTTAGGAAGATATAGAATATAAAACCCTTGACACTGTCGGGGCACTTTCTTTTCTGTGGAGGATTTGGTTGGGTTTGGCTCCACTGGTTGTCACTAAACAAAACTGGTCATTGTGATTCACGACAACTACGAATATAATTATGAACCCTCATACGACTATGTGGTTCTAGACTCAGGGACTCTATGCAGCCCCTGTACACATGACTGGGCTTTGGCTCACCAAATCATGGTCGCTTCGGAAGGGTTCACGTCTTGTTAGGAAAGTCCAACCCACAACCCAAAACCACAAATATAGGATGTGTTGATAAAACCACATAAGGATTCTACAGGGTTCATAATAATGTAGGAACTATATACGAACCCACAACCCTGAGGGTCGAGTTTTAGCCGGGAAACCACGAAAACCAATGCCTTCCGGTGCAGCTACTTCGGGGAGATAGGTATTTGCATGGGTCTCAGGCTCTCGATCAATGCCCTCGACGATTCGATTGATGATGAGGAGCACACACAAGTTTGAGGAGCATACGGTGTTGTCGGGAGGTGAAGGCTTCGGTGCCTGCAACAAACACAGAGGAAGTGTGAGTCCGAGCGTGAGAGAGAGAGAGAGATATCTTGCAAAACATAAAGTCGTACTCCATCCTGGGTGTCATTCGGTCGGGTCTCCTGAGAGCAAGCAGAGAGTGGTATCTGAAGATCATATTTTGCCAGGCGAGATAACAGAAGCCTCAGGTTTTGTAGCTTCCACGGCTTCAGCTTCTGGGCACGGCACCTTAAAAGCTCGCAGAGACACAAATGGATCGGAGATACAGATGAGAACTTTAGTGGCGCACGGGAGCTTTGGCAGGTGAAGGCTCTGGCAGTGCAGCCGGCGCCTGTCGCAGACACAAAGAGAGCGAGCAAAACAGAAAGCGAGAGAGAGAGAGAGTGAGACAAGCAGGTCTAGTATGATTTGGGGGAAGCAACACAGCAGCGAAGAAAAACCGATCCTGGGTGTCATTCGCTTGGGTCTCCTCGATGCCACAACATCAAAACATGGCATAATCTTAATTCTGTGTCGGGCCTCAAGTTGTGTAGCCTCCACGGTGTTCTGAAGGCATGGCTCCTTAAGTGACTGAAATAAACGACTAGGATGCACAGCATGATTTGAGGACCACACGGAGGCTTTGGCGGGAGGCGACAGCTGGGCCTGCACCATGAGCTACACAGAGATATATAGAGAATGAAGACAGCAAGAGAGCAGGTATAAGTAACGAGTGAGGGAGAGACCGAGAGACAGAGAGAGAGA